CCTTTGGGAGAGAGCATGGTATAGTGGAGAGCTGAAATTAATATCTGAAGGACTTGGGTTTGAATCCTGACTCTGACACCTATTAACTACGTCACCCTGAGCAAGTCACTTAACTTTGCTGAGTATCACTTTGCTCATCTGTAAGATAGTTATTATTATTGGCAACCTATTATTGGTTCTTATAGACATCAAATGTCTTTTGGGTGCCTTTTGGAGTTGCAAATTTAATTCTTCCAGTGCTTTGGTATTTCATGATTTATAGTCATTCAGAATCTCTAGGAGAATATTGGCATTTAAGACTTGAGATTTTGTAATAATGAGTTGTTTAGGACAATTATAAGCACAGTGTCCCAAAAATTAAGGTGCAGTTTTAAGCTATTAAAGCTTAGTAAGCTATTTTTATAATCGTTTTAAGCTATTAAAGCTGTCACATATGGCAAAAAGACTCTCAAATCTTTTGTCTTTATTAAAAAAAATAAAAGGATGTACATCTGTTACCTTATAGTAGTGTTTTAGAAGAAATTCCCAGATACTACATATTGAAATGTTCCTGAATAATATAAGAATGTAAAAAAATATATTTCATACCTAGGTTGACAATTAGGGCTGTAAACTAATTATTTCACTTATAAAAGCTATAGTTTCCAAGTTATCAAAGAAATAAAGATTACACATGACTAGCTGTTACATTCAAGGATTGATCTGTTAATTAATTGCTCTAAATAATAACTGAGCCAGGAATTTCTGAGTTAGTCTCTTCACATCATTAACAATAACACTGTGTGGCAAGATCAATGACAATTTTGACATACTGAGTTACAATAGATGGAAAAAGTTATAGTTTTAGAGGGAAGCAAAGACCCCTTCCCCACCTGGGGTGTTTAAACTAACATTTTGTTATTAATTTATTAAAATTAAGGAATAAAATAAAAATTTTGTAATACAAGTCTGGAGAAATCTTACTGGGACTTGTGAAGAGCTAAGAAATCTTGAAACTAGTTTGGGTGTTGCTTAGATCAGTATAAGGGCCTGGTAAGACCATTCCTGTGCAGGTTTAGCACATTAAAATAAGGGCTATCTGTTCTTTAGGTTGTTGTCTGTTCGTTTTTTTTTATTTAAAAGAGTTTTTATTTCATTTTTAAGTGAGCATAATTTAAAATAATCATTGGACTCAGTATTGATTTCTTTGGACCCTTTGAGTAGCTCTATTATTCATACTATATTTGCACTGCCAACATAAGGTAGTAAGGGTTAAGCAATTAATAGTCAAACCAGGGAAATAGAACCTGTATTCTTTTTTTTTTAAATTAAAAATGATTTGTTTATTTATTTTTAGTTTTCAACATTCACTTCTGTAAGATTTTCAATTTTCAATTTTCTTTCTCCCCTTCCCAAAATGGCATGCAATCTGATGTAGGCTCTACTTATACATTCATATTAAGCATATTTTTCCATTAGTCATGATGTAAAGAACAATTAGAATTAATGGGAGGAACTATGAGAATGAAGCAATAAAACAAAACAACAAAAGAAAAGGAGAGCAAATAGTATGCTTCCATGTGCATTCAGAATCCACAGTTCTTTCTCTGGATGTGGATAGCATTTTCCATCATGAGTCTTTTGGAGTTGCCTTAGATCCTTGCATTGCTGAGAAGAGCCAAGTCTATCAAAGTCAGTCAACTGCACAATGTGGCTGTTACAGTGTACAAGGTTCTCCTGGTTCTGCTAACTTCACTCAGCATCAGACCACACAAGTATTTCCAGGTTTATCCAAAGTCTGCCTGCTCATCATTTCTTATGGCACAATAGTATTCCATTACATTCATATACCACAACTTGCTTAGCCATTCCCCAATTGATGAACATCCCCTCAATTTCCAATTCTTCGCCCCCACAAAAAGAGATGTTAGGAATATTTGTACATATGGGTCCTTTTCTGTTGTCTGTTCTTTAGGTGGTTGTTTAATTGTTTCAGTCATGTCTGACTCTTTGTGACCCCATGTAGGGTTTTATTTGCAAAGATATTGAAGTCATCCAGCTTCATTTTACAGATGAGGAAACTGAGACAAACAGGGTTAAATGACTTGCCCAGGATCACACAGCTAGTAAATGTCTGAAGCCAGATTTGAACTCAGGAAGATGAGCCTTCCTGACTCTAGGCCCTGCACTCTATCTACTACACCACCAAGCTGCCCATACACATGCCTTTACTTTTCAGTTATCATACCCATGCCTCTGTACTCAGTTTGCTGTTTTAAGCTCCCTTCTAGATCTTGAGGTAGAAGGGGACCTGCTGAAATGGCACTTTAGCAGAATCAGTCTTACTGAAAGACTGAAGTGTTACAATCTTTCATTCAGAAACCAGCCAGGTCTCTTTAACCTCTCCCTTTACTTTGATAGGGCAGAATAGTTAGATTTCCCCAGGCAATGAAGAACTGCATGCCCTTGTCTAATCTTCAATTTGATTTTAGTGTGACTACAAAACGAAGGTGATTTAATCCCAAATATAGGATTGCTGGATGACTTAATGGGTCAGGCTGTGGAGGACATTTAGTTCATTCCACACTTGTTCTTGGTGAATTATGTTGACATGTCTTGATTGGAAAAGGACACGTTGACATTTGACTCACAAACAGGAATACTTCCAAACGAAGCTTTTTAGAGCATCTTCGTGATTTTAGAATGCCCATAAATTTCACAGCGGAAGGAAGGGACTCTTACTTGACATCCACAATTCAATTTAGAGGTTAAGTTTTGTGCCAGATTTTGTATGGTTGATATACTCTTAGGTTTGTGCATACAAACTTCACCTGTAATCATTTACTTTTTATGATTGTAAAATATCTCTGTGCATACTCAAGCAACACATATGAAAAGTTTTGAATATTTTAGTAGCAGTCATAAAATATTACTTAATCATTTAACACCACCTACTAAAAAGGAATTTTAAAGTACTTTATGAACATTATCAGACAACAAACACCATTAAAATGTGAAGATCCCTCTAGGCAACAGTATAAATAAACCTCGCAGATTTGCATAGAGGCTTATGCTTCATAAAGCTGTTTTTTCCTCACAACAGCCAGGTAAGGTGGCTGTTTTGTAAATATTGCTAGGATATTTTACAGGTTGTAAAGAAAATGAGAATCAAAATACATTATGAGAATTGTTCAAAGTTAGTCAGCTAGTGAGTATTTGAGTTGGGATTCAAACCCAAGTCTATTGGGTCCACATCTAGTGCTCTTTGCACCATATTTTCTGCCTCTAAATAAGTCTCACTCTCAGTCAACAACACAGGTTAAAAAAAAAAACCCACAACTTCCTTTATTGCCTACAGGTTTGAATGATCAGGTGATTATAGAGAGCTAGGTGCCCTCCATCAAAAATATCTTGTGTCTGTGTATTATTAATGCTTAATACTGAATAAATAAGTTTCATCTACTAAAATTTTGCCATTTGGAACTCAAAAGTTCTCAGAGTTCAACTTTAATTTGGTGTCTCTAATTTAGAATGGCTAACTTAGCTCACAAATGTAGCTACATTTGGAAAGCAAGAGAGATGAATTTTTGGAACAGTTGCTGACCAGATCTTTTTTTTTTTAAAATAGACTCACACCTCACATTGAATAATAATCCAGAGTAAGTCAGAAGAATCTGCAACTCTCATACATAACAAAACTAGCATTTACATAGTGCTCTAAGGTTTGTAAAGTACTTTACAAGTATTATCTCTTTTTATCTTCACAACAACCCTGGGAGGTAGGTACTACTATCACCCCCATTTTATGGGTGAGGAAACTAAGGCAGATAGAGATTAAGTGACTTGCATAGGATCACAGAGTTAGTTAGTGTATGAGCATGGGTTTGAACTTAAGATGCCAGGTCCAGGGCTCTGTCCATTGAATTACCTGTCTCATGCATTTTAATGTGGATCATGACTCTGTACTTGAAAAATTAGAGGTTCTGATAAATATTATGATGAGAAAGGAGAAGCAGTAAACAGATACCTTTCATTTTCTGTGCCTAAATTCTCTCTGTAAACTTCAATCAGTTTTTTGGTATTCCTTCTTTGGCCATCTGAAAGTGACAACTGTTGTATTTAGTTGATTAATATGTATTTAGGGGACATTTATTATGTCAAAGAACCTGGGCAATATGACAAGAAAAACAGGGAAATAGTTCCTTATCTCTAGAAATTTAAGCTAGAATCAGATCTGGATAGAAAAGACAAACATGGGTGAGAGATACCACTTCTGTGGGTCTGAATCTCATTGAGGTGGACACTCTCTCCAGTGGTGTTTATTACAAGTCATCCTTTCTTGACTGTGTGATCATTTTCTCTGACCTCCTACAAAACTTCAAGAGGTAGCAGACAGTTTGTGCTGGTGTGGGGGCTGGAGCAGCTTCCTTTAGATCTCTTGATACCTGTCTATTGGTTTATCTTTTTCTCTAGTTGCACAATCATTCCACTGTGTTTTCTCATCTTAGAGTTTTCTGATGGCTTCTTTTATGCCACTTCTCTTGGGCATAGTTGTATGTTGCACCCTACCTACACCAACTGTGTGTCACTTCCATTGGCCTCTTGGTGACCTGAAATTTTAATTCTTTAGGGACTGTGGTAGTCTATGACTTGTAGTAATAGAGCATCACTAGAAAAATACTGATGATAAAAACATAGACCTTTTTTTTTTCAGGGAGAAGGCTGAGGTCATTAAAAGAACTGTACAATGCCCCTAAATCAATTCAACCCATATTCCTCCATCTATTCAATTCTGAGTCCAGCTCATTGTCCATTCTCAGTGTCTATCCTACAAATGTGTTCTGATATACCAGTTCTATGGATTGTATATTCAACAGCATATTACAGCTTGGACAATGGTGTAATTACACATCATAGAAAACAAACATTTTTCATCCATTTGGTTTTTCAACTGTAGTTGGTTATACTAGACTCTTTTGAGTGATTAGCAGTTTCATTTAGTAGATTTTGCAATGTTTCAGGACTTTTGATACAATCAACAAAATTTCATCTCTACATAGAAACATCTGGAGAACCTAACCATCTATATGGAATGTAAGCTATAGTCCTCCATGATAATGGTAAGTATCTTTGGTGAGCACTGTTACTTTGTTTTATTCTTTCCTTAATAGTAATAACCAGAGCATCACTGGACAAAGTTATCTCTGTATTTACATCTTTCAGTGAATCTTATAAGACTCTGACATATCCCAGGGACACATCTTGTCTGAGAAGAGACTTTAAAAGAGCTGTTTTGTTCTACTAAAGAAAATTTTTTTCTTTAATAGTTAACAATAAGCACAGTGAGGTCTTATATTCAACTGTGTGCCTGTAAAATCTATTGTAGAATATTATTTGTGAAAGCCTATCTGTTCCTTTCTTATATTTCAATCAAGGATGTCCTTGGTACATGTGTAATTATTCTCAAACATTTTGTAGGGATAGGAAAGTAGGTATATGGGTCAGTAGTTACTGATATTCTCGCAGGGAGTATTTCTATGAAAAGATATTGACATAAAGCCACAAAACACAATATATATCAAAAAGCAAGATTTTAACAGGTATTGAAGGAAGAATCAGAAAGAAAAAAGAAATGCCTAGTTGGATTTTGAGACACATTTTTAAAAAATCTACCCACTTGCCAAAATTTCTCACTAATTTTTGGCTTATCACAGTACTTTTTTTTGGTAGACAAGATACAGTCATTTTCCAATTTTTCTGCATAGACAAATTAGTTAGATATATTCCAACAGTTTTCTAATGTCCTTACAAAGGGTCATATTCAGTCAAGCAATGACTATTGACTTTGAGTAACAACATGGTGTCTGGCAATTTTATTTGGTGCTTCACTGTCCTATACAAATTCTTAATTGATTACTCTGATGACAATGAACCAGTCTTACAAGCCATTCTGTGTGAGAGAGAACAGTATTCTTGCTGTTGTTCTGCGTCAGTGCCTATTATTATCATGATTCACTTGCTTAATGGAGACCCCTTCCCCCCACCAACTCTTCTAACATGATTATAGCTACTCCCATCTGAAAGAAATCTTATTCAAAATCATATGTGAAAAGCAAGACTGAACAGATAAAGATTTGTGATTAGAACTCAAAAAATTATGTAAGAAAAGTTACTATACTGTTCATATCCTTTGTCCTGTTGTTGGATTCAAACCCTAATGACGTCATTAACAAGAAAGACAAGCTACATGTGCTTAACTACTTGATCTAGAGAAAATTTTTGTTAGACATTTTATTTTGTGATTGAGAGAACCTTTTCCCTTCTGCTTCTTACTTAAGACTAACAAGTACCTTTCCTACTGTGTGACTGACTATTGGAAGGGGAAAAGTGGTTATTCAGGATATCTGTGAAACTTTGGTCTTTTAACCCCCACCTCAAGTGGGATGGAAGGTCTTTGGTGACCCTAAATCCTACATTAATGGCAGTTTTATTTGTAATAACAAAAAGTCAAAACAAAAATGTGTCCAATGATTCAGGAATGACCGAACGAATGGTAGCACGTGACTGAAATGAAATATTACTGTACAACAAGGAACGACAACTATGGAAAATTCCGAGAAGCATGGAAGCAATAACGACTGAGACCTCAGGAGTCCTTTAAAGCCTCCAGAGTGCTTTCTGTATGCTATCTCATTTGTTCCTCAGAAATAACACTGTGAGGGAGATGTACTACAAGGCATTATTGTTCTCCATTTTGTAGTTGAAACTGAGGCCAAGGGAGGTTAAGTGACTTGCCTAGGATCAGTTAGTGTCAGAGGCAAGATTTGAACTTAGGTCTTCCTGATTCCAGATCTGGCACTCTATGTATGACACCACACATTTCTTTTGTTGTTGTTGTTGTTGTTGTTGTTTTTTGTTTTGGTTAGGCAATGGGGTTAAGTGACTTGCCCAGGGTCACACAGCTAATAAGTGTTATGTGTCTGAGGCCAAGTTTGAACTCAGGTCCTCCTGAATCCAGGGCTGGTGCTCTATCCACTGCACCACTTAGCTGCCCCTGATACCGCACATTTCCTAAGACTTATATGGAATGATTTAGAATTTTAGAGTGAAGTAAGCAGAATTGAAAGACCAAAAATGCACAATTGCAACAATGTCTAAACCTAGATATAATAGTAATTCCTAGGCGACCTCTTTTAAAAAAAATTTTTTTTAAAGGCAATTGGGGTTAAGTGACTTGCCCAAGGTCACACAGCTAATAAGTGTCAAGTGTTTGGTCTGAGGCCAGATTTGAACTCAGGTCCTCCTGACTTCAGGACCAGTGCTCTATCCACTGTGCCACCTAGCTGCCCCCCTAGGCTACCTCTTAAATTACATTAAAAATATCACCTAAATTATACTTTGTTCTAGATGAGGTAAATATATGAAAAGATAGGTCAGGATAATTTCTGGAGAAGATAATAAAGGAATATCACTTTTTCCAAGTCTAAAACTTGACTGTGGGTACGGTGTGATCTAGGTATGAGAGGAGGGTTGTTTTATCAATGGGTATTTGTTTTAATCAATGTGAATGAATGATATCTACCTTATTCTGATTATTAAATGTCTTACCCATTGTTCTTAAGGGCCCAATGAAGTACAACTGATGTAAATCTACAATCTCTTTAGATCTACCACTCTAATATTTCATAAAGCTCTATTTATGGGGCAGTGAGGTGGTACAGTGGATAGGGCACCAGACTTGGAGTTAGGAAGCCCCAAGTTCAAATCTAAGTTCATATACTTACTAGCTTACTTACCCTGGGCAAGTCAGTTAACTTCCGTTTGCTGCAGTTTACTCATTTGTAAAATGGGGATAATAATAGCACTTACCTCCTAGACTTGTTGTGAAGACCAAATGAGATAATATTTGTAAAGCACTTAACACAGCACGTGGCACACAGTAAGTGCTATGTAACTGTTAGCTATTATTATTATCTACAGTTAAATATTATACAGGTACATTTTGTCTGGGATAATTCTGAAAATAACAGTGTATAAAATATAGAAGCACAGAACTTGGAGAGGATTTGTATACCAGTGACCATGAAAACAAAGAGCAAAAAATATCTGAGCTAGTGCCCATCATTATCATGATTCAATTTTCATTGAATTCTTATTGAAAGGATTTTCTAAAGACTGCATTAAGTTTTTGTTAAATCTACTCTTTATTCTTTCTCCTTTCTTAGCAGTTCTGAGAAATAAGTATCATCTTTTCTCATTAAACAACAAATAATGGTTCAAACATAGGACAAGACTCTTCTAAAATTCAAATTAGGAAAAAAAATTCTCCCTGTAACACTCATCAGCAAGGCTGAGGACATTGGAGTATAGAGGCAAGAGGGAGTCTTAGATGTCTTTCCTTCTCTTGACTATTTTACTCCCCTATTCAAATCACTCCAGCAGTGCCAGTTGCCTTCAGAGAACGTATAAATTACTCTGTTTAGCTTTTTAAGCCCTTCACTACCTCAATCTGACCTGACTTTACAGACTCATTATGCATTACTCCCTATCCCTCACTCTATAATCCAGCCAAACTGGCATTTCCTTTGTTCCTCACACATAGCACTCCATCTCCCATTTGCATCCCTTTGTACTGGCCCTACCTTGAAAGCATTCCTTCCTGTCATTTGCTTCATAGAATCCTTCTCTTCCTTGAAGATGCAGTGTAAGTACCATCTTATACAGATGACGCCTTTCTTGACAACCTCCCCACCTCCCACCTTCAGTGTTTGTATTCTCTCTTTTTAACTAGTTTGTATTTATTTAATCTTGTTATGTCTGTTCTGTATATATTCATAGGTGTAAAAGGTGTACCCTCCTTTATAATGTGAGGTCCTTGAGCGCAGGGATGGTTTCATGCTTTAACTTCATATATCCCTAGTGCCTAGTAAGGTGCCAGGCCCAAAGTAGCCACTCAACAAATGCTTGTGGATTGATTCTTCATGCTCACCAGATGTGGCCAGGTCATGTTTATTGGGATAACAGCCATTGGAACTCTTGGTACTCTAATGCAAAAGTCTGCCTTGCTTAGGAGTAAGAAGAAAGGATGCTGATACAGAAAGCTTTGAAGGGAGAAATGCCAAAGAGTAAATGATGGAACAATGAACGTTTTCCCTTTCTGTTATTGGCTTTACAGGTAGTCACAGAATAGATGTAATGTCAACTTAAAAAGGCAAATCTATTTCAGTGAAAAGGATATTGTTTCATTTCTTCTTCCAGGCCTTGCATTATAGGGAAAATAGTGAAAATGTAGGGAAAATGGGGCAAATTAAACTTGGAAAGTATCTCAGAGTCTAGATTTAGAACTAGGACCTTAGTTAGTCATCTAGTCCAGCCTCCTCATTTTAAAGATGTACCTTGCCCAAGGTCACACTGGTAGTAAACTACAGAACAGAGCTTGAACCCAGATCCTCTCACTGTAAAACTAGTATCCTTTCTAGACTACAGGATGTGATTTAAGGTATATAAAGCATTTGCTTCGTAACAACCCTCTACATTGGTAATATGAGTATCATGACCCCCAATTTGTAGAAGTAAAAAATTGAGGATTCAGAAAGAGGTCAACTGATCTAAGTTCATAAGAACTGGTAAATGCTAGGGCTGGGCTTTGAACTCGGGGCTCTTAATTTTAGCTTTCATTGTCTTTCTACTATGCCATGCTACCTTCCCAAGGACTCATGCTTTCTTCTCCTCCCACACCCATTATTTTAGAAAATAGTTTTGTTTCTACATTTGAAAAAATGAACAGATCAATAGTTAATTTTGCAAGGGCTACTCTGATGAATCTATGATCTCTCTATTGAAAGCACTCTTTCTAATTCTACCAAATTCCTTTTATGACACAAATATGGTTCTAAACCAGAAAGAGCAAAAACAGTGAAAGAAAACTACAGACCAATTTCTCCAATGACTATTGATGTAAAAACTTCAAACAAAATTCTAGCAAGGAAATTACAGAAATATATCACAAAGATCATATATCATGACAAGGTGTGATTTATACCAGGAATGCAGGGCTGGTTCAATATTAGGAAAACTATCAGCATAGTTAATCGTATTAATAATAAAAACAACAAAATCA